CATCACAGGTGGCTATGGTGTATTCTTACCAATCTTCCCTCATGTCTATGTCATCACAGGTGGCTATGCTATATTCTTACCAATCTTCCATCATCTTTTTTTGCTAGTCTGCTGGATGGAAATATTCTAGCTTGGAATTTGCTTTCCATTTTCTTTCATTTTCCTGATGCAGTTAAACATATTCACATGTGACTATTGGACAGGAGGAATTCCTCATCTGTGAACTGTTTTTGGTCATGTCTTCTATCCATTTTTTTCTTTGTTTATTTGGCAGTTCTTACTGTCCATAGGAGTTTCTCATATATTCTGCTTTTTATTTTGTAGGGTGTATGTGTAGCAAATTTAATATGATTTCTTTCCTTTTACTTCAGCCTATTTTCCTTTTCTCTACTTGTTTGTTTCATTGTTTTCTTATCATTTGGTTTTGTGCTCTTTCCATGAAATCTGATGAGGCTATAGATCCACCTTTGAAAGTGTATGTTCCCATTAGAAATTTGTATACTTGACCAAATCAAAGCCAAACCAGATGACCAGAGAAACAGGAAGTTCCAGGTTCCTGTCAGCCACAAATAACCTCCCCCTGACCAAATGATGGTAATGTCCCCTTTACTCTTTTCTTTTAAGATAGAGTCTTACTATATATCCCTGACTGGTCTGGAACTCACTATGTAGACCAGTCTAGCCATGAACTCAGAAATCTGCCCATCTCAGCCTCTTAGTGCTGGGATTAAAGATGTATGCCACCACAACTGGCCCCTTGCTTTTTTTGTTAAAATTATTTTTGCTATTCTATTGTGGAATAATTTTTTAAAACAGCATATATCTTAGTTTTTCATGTAACAGTTGTCTTAACTTGGGTTTTATAGCTGTGCAGAAGCACCCATGACCACAGCAACTATAAAAGAAAACATTTAGGAAGCTGGAGAGATGGCTCAGCGGTTAAGAGCACTGACTGCTCTTCCAGAGGTCCTGAGTTCAATTCCCAGCAACCACATGAGTGGCTCACAGCCATCTGTAGTGGGATCCAGTACCTTCTTCTGAAGGCAGTGTACTCCTATAAATAAAATAAACAATTCTTAAAAAAAAAAAAAAAAGAAAACATTTAATTGTGGCTGGCTTACATGTAGTTCAGAAGTTTAATCCATTATCATGGTGGGAAACATGGCAGCATGCAGTCAGACATGGTGCTGGAAAAGGAGCTGAGAGTTCTACATCTTCATCCACAAGCAACAAGAAAAGACTCCCACATTAGACCTAGCTTGAGCAGATATGAGACCTCAAAGCTAATCTCCACAGTGGCACACTTCCTCTAACAAGGACACACCTATGCCAACAAGGACACACCTCCTAATAGTACCACTCCTTATGGAGCAAGCATTCAAACACATGAGTCTACGGGGCCGTTCCTGTTCAAACCATCACAACAGTTAAATGCTAAGTTAAGCCTCCCCCCTCCCCAAGTGATAGGCTAGAACTTGTGACTTGTGCTAGTCTGCCCATTCTTTACCACTGAGCTGCATCCCAGCCCAACTAGGTTAATTAGAGGGTTGGCTGTGAATTCCACAGTAGTTCCTAAATTTAATTTGTGTAAAGTTTATACACTGAATGAAAGCTCTTGTGTCTCAGAACCATATTAGGATACATTTCTCCTTCCATTCATACATGTTTTAGAACCCAGGCTTGTGATGCTATCATATATCCTATCTTTCACCTGGTTTAGCTGCCCCCATTGTTACAGTAGCTGGTGAATTCCCTTTTTTAAAGCTCCCTTCTAATAAACTCACTAAGGGTTTTATTCCTAAGTAAATGTTTTCTGTTTTTATAAACTTTTAAATTTTTATAAAATTTAAATGAGTCATAGTTTTTACTTCCTAACATTGTAAGGTTTATGGGTTAGAGCTATATAATCTAGGGCCAAGTTCTCCTTTAAACAAGTTGGATATGTGGGTACATATACACAAAATGTTAACCTCAATCTGAAATTGTCCAATATGATAGCTTCCTGTTTGGTCAAGTAAAAGGTGTGCTAAGTTCTTAGGAATGTGGCAGTATAAGTGTAGTTTAGAAGGTAGATTGTGAGGGTCATCTTCGTACAATTGGAGTGTTTGAAGTTAACATGTGATTCATACTATTTTCAATTTTAGACAACTGTATATTTTTAATACCAAGAGTATTTCACAGTACACTTCTTAGTGTGTTTAATAGCAGTTTCTGCTGATAATATGGGACATAATTTTTACTTCATTTCCTTTCCATATGTAATTCTTTATCTTGCATAAGGCAAAGTTGTAAGCCTCTACTGTAATAACAAATTCATACAATTATAAAATTGCTAAGATCAAATCGAAAGGGGCTAAAATAATGGCTCAGTGGTTTAAATGCACTGGCTGTTCTTCCAGAGGACCCAGGTTTGATTTTCAGCCCCCACATGGTTTATGCAGTCCTCTGTAACTCCAGCTCCAGGGATCTGATACTGTCCTTAAGCACCAGCCAAGTATGAAGATGAGGTGCACAAACATAGATGCAAGCAAAACACCCATACATATAACCTTTTAAAAGAGGGAACCAAAAATAACGGAAATAAAACTTAGGATTGCTTCAAAACTTTAGAATTATTTCATTTTGATTTGGAAGGTTATGTCCAATGTAAACATATTTTGAGGTCTTTTAAGATGATCAAAGAATTATTGGGTATTGAAAGCACACACATAGCATTTAGTGCTAGAGAGAGAGATAGCTTAGTTGTTAGGGTTCTTACCATGCACACACAGACCTCTGGATTTGATCTCAAGCACTGCATAAACCTGGTGTGGTAGCTAAGGCCTGTAATATTAGCAGTAGGGAGATGGAGGCAGAAAGATCAGGAGCACAAGACCTGATTTAGACACCAGACCTGTCTAAAAAACAAGCACACCTTGTAAACATCTGTGTAACTTTGCATCTGCTAAGTAGACATAATAGCTATTTTGAAGGTGGGTCATAGCTATAGCCTTTGAGACTGTCTCTATGAATAATATTGAGTAATTTCTTAGTCCTGATTTTTTTCTTCATATTTTAATTAACTTCTACATTTGGCCCAAAGAGTGAAATGCCAGACAGAACTTAGAAATTTAGGCAAAAGAGAACTAAAATGACTATGTTATGGATAGAAACCTTTAGTTAGATTATAACCATTATTTGGCTTTTGGGAGTTATTAAAAAATGAGTCAGTTTACAAAAAGGGGGGCAGGATAGTTTGAGCTTTTTGCTAACAACCAGTTTTAGAACAATGCAGCTTCGGTTTTTCTCATGTGTCACTTAGTGATTTTTGCCTTATTGACTGCCTTTATTTCTCTTTCCTTATACTTACCTGTATTCCAGGCAGGTGAAATCATAAAGAATGAATTTGTTGCATGTAGTCATTAGGTGTGGCCTTCTCTGTGCTGGCCTTGCCTCTCTTGGTGTCTTCCACTTGTCCTCTAAATGGGAAGGACTTTAGGTATTGGTTATTCCTCCCACATCAGAAACACTCTGGCTCTGGTGCTTTGCTGTCTATAGCAACTTTCTATTGTCTGTGCTTTTATAGCCACCCTGTTAACATGTGTTTTCCAGAGAGCCTGGAGCACTGTTTTTAAAGGGGGACCACGTAAAACTTCAGTTAGTGACTTCCCAGTGCTAAAAATGTCTCCTCTCTGTCTCCATCAGTGCTCTACAATTAGTTTTTACCTGTAGCCAACTGTGTTAGCCAATCTTGCATATTGTTTTCCAGTTTATATTCGGTTCCTCAGGTTAACCAAGTTTGCTCTTTCTTTAGTATGGAGTTCTCCTCCACCAGTGCTTCACACATCTGGCTCGCTTTAGTGTAGGGGCTTCAACTTGATTATCTCGGTGACTCTACAGTCCATTCTTTGCAAAATGTCCTCACCTTGTCATTCTCTTTCACAGGTCGCCCAGTATAATTCATCATGTTTACTTTCATGTGTCATTCATATTTATAAATTCATTATCAAGCATGCCATGTAGGACACAGTCCTTGAGAGGGCACAAGGGTTGCACGTCCTAACTCCCAGAGTGCCACTATGTAGGCATTGATCACAAAGCATTCATAAAATATTAATCTCTAACCAGGAGAAAACTTTGAAGGAGAATCTAAAGATAGCTCATTCGTAGTTCTGTGGTGGCCTTTGAAGATACCACCCTCGTCATTCCTCAAGAAGCCTCTCTGTTGATATTGTGAATGGTTGTGATTAGATGTTACCATGACAATATCACCTCTGTCATCTGTCATAAACCTTGAATTTTCTTACATAATAAAGGAATTAAATGGCTCTGCTTTAAGGTACCAATCCAGGTACCTACAGGACCCTGTACTTTAACATTTTAACATTTTCTGTTAGTGGATGAGCTTGTTTTGTGAAGTCACATAAGGGTTCTGAAACTCCAACAGGGATGTATGTGTCAAGACGGCTCTTCTCACATGGAGTTAGCGGAGTGTAAATACAGTCTTAGGATATACATGAGCCACTGAGGTAAAAAAAAAAAAAAAAAAGTGCATGACCTGTAATCCTCTTGTATAAGTTAATCAAAGGGGGAAAATCATCTTAGTGTCTGTCTGTGAATATAGAACAATCTATTCATACTTCTCTTGTACAGAATAGCTACCTAGTAGTGAGCCACTTTGTCAGGGCATCCATGGGACTCCTTTAGCAGAGTAAGACAGTGCAGAGAACAACTGGATGTTAAGGAATGAAAGTGCAATGAAGCTTTAGTCTCTTCAGGCTTATGTATCTGCTACAAAATTCCCTTCTTAAGTATTGAAAGTAACCCATGTCTTCCCTGACAGCGGGGAGTCTTCCTTGGTTTGGTGGATGTTAGGTCCCTAAGTCAACGTAAAGATGAACACATATTTTGTTCTATACAGCTATAGAAAAATTAATTAATTAATTTCAAGAGATTGAGACTAAAAAGGAACACTTACAGTGTTTTCTTTCTTTCTTCCTTCTTTTTCCCCTCTTCTCTCCTCGCATCCCTTCTCTCCACACTAAATAGCATGGACCCTGAAATTTCTGAACAAGATGAGGAAAAAGAGAAATATACTTCCGTCTGTGTTGGCAGAGAAGAGGACATTAGAAAATCAGAAAGAATGACAGCTGTTGTCCATGACAGAGAAGTAGTCATTTTCTACCACAAAGGGGAATATCATGCTATGGACATTCGTTGCTACCGTAAGATTTGTTTTCATTTATAGAATTTGTACTTGTTTATCACAAAACTATCAAAATTCAGTTTAGTGACTAGATATATCAATTCCTTTTCAGATTCTGGAGGGCCCTTACACTTGGGAGAAATTGAGGTATGTAAAATTAAATTTACTCTAAAACAAACTCAAATTTTTCCTACATTACTATTTTATTCTTTATTTAAAGATTGTTAATTTAGATTCAATTTCACTTTAGTGCTTTCAAGATGATTGTCATTATTCTTACCTATTCATAGCTTAAAATATAAAGAAAATCATTTTCCAGATGAATAACAAGTATGTCCTTTGAACTAACAAATATACTATTATCTACTCTGAATATAATTGCACAAATGTTTGATTATATACAGGAAAAGCTTGTTGCAATATCATTATAATGAAAAATTTAAGATCATCTCATTAATAAATAACATAACACAGCCATGCCTTGGAACATTGTGCACCCATTAAATTAATGAAGCAGGCCTATCTGTGCTGGTATGGAGGGATGTTAACAATGTGTTTGTGAACATTAAAAGCAAATGGAGTAGTTCCAGTAAGTTTGCATTTCTAAAACATTCATTTTTATATATTGTATACTTTGAATTTTATGAGTATGTATTTCCAATATAATAAAGGGTTATTATCCAATATATTATAATAATAATAATATTCAATATAATAAAAGGTTTTCAAAGTATTTGAGAGAAACCAATTTTTGAAATAGTACCTGAAGAATTTGGGGAAATTACCTTTGCTTTTTTATACTCCGAAACTAGTTATCTAATTTCTGTCTTCCATTTGTTTGCTTGTTTGTTTTGTTTTGTATTGTTTTGTCTAATTGCTATAAAGTACAAACCTGCATGGTAACCATAAATGTTCATGTTCCAACTATAGGGCATGTATTTGTTATAAAAATGTCAGCCGGGCAGTGGTGGCACATGCCTTTAATCCCAGCACTTGGAAGTCAGAGGCAGAGACAGGCGGATTTCTGAGTTCGAGGCCAGCCTGGTCTACAGAGTTAGTTCCAGGACAGCCAGGGCTATAAAGAGAAACCCTGAAGAAAAAAAAGAAAAAAGAAAAAAGAAAAGAAAAGAAAAGGAAAAAGAAACAGAAAAGAAAAGAAAAGAAAAGAAAAGAAAAGAAAAGAAAGAAAATGTCTGCTACCTCCATGGGAACTGTATTGGCAACCCTTGGTGTCTGGTGTAGTGGGCTGTAAGCACATGTTGGTGAGAATGCTATAGGATTGTCTCTAGCATTGTCGGCTATAAAGAACTTACTACTCAGTGTGTGAGCCACAGCCCAGCACTCTTGGCATGTTGGAGCCTCTTAGACATACAAAACCCTAGTCTCCCAGTGCTTACTGAATTTAAACAGGCAGCTGCATTTAAAGCAGATCCAGGTGCTGCCCATGCTCTTTAAGGCTTGGCAGCATTTCATTGAGACATTAAAAGTGCTGATCACAAACTGCTTGTCTATTACCCTTGTAATGCCTAGGCGTTACAATTCTTCTGGAAGCTAGTGAAAATTCCTCTGGAGGCACTAGAAGCCCTGCCCCCTTTCTGCCAAGGAAGTGACATTAATATAGATATGGCTATGAGGCAGTGAGGTCTTCCCAGCTAGTTCTCACCAAGCTCTAGCTCACCAAGTTCTGGCTACAGAAGGGGCTTGCTTGTCCTCTGATTAGGTTTGCTTTGTGATGAATAACTTGTAGGTAGGAGGGGGAGACAAGGCCTTCTGTCCATTTGTTGTGTTTAATCTACTTATTTGTGTGTGGGAGCAGCCTCCACAAGGCTCTCTGTGGGTTTCTCGGGCTGAAATCACAGCGTGCCTTCACCCACAGAGCGCTCTCACTGTCAGGCTCCTTTTTGTTTATAAGACAGTCTCACTGTGTAGTCCAGGCGGGCTTCAAGCTCAAGAGCCTCTTGCCTCCGCTCCTAAGAGAGCGCTTGGATTACTGGTGCATGCTGCTCCTCGTAGTGCTGTTCTGTAGCTTAGTTCTCCTGCATTAGATTAAATCTGAGATCTCTCCTGAACACGCTAAGGTCAAGACTATTAAATCTGTTATTTTTTTCCCCTCCAGGATTTCAATGGGCAGTCATGTATAGTTTGCCCCTGGCATAAATACAAAATCACTTTGGCAACAGGAGAAGGATTATACCAGTCTATAAATCCTAAAGACCCATCAGCAAAACCCAAGTGGTGCTCCAAAGGAGTAAAGCAAAGGATTCATAATGTGATGGTGGATAATGGCAATATTTATGTGACGCTTTCTAAGGAACCTTTTAAATGTGACTCTGATTATTATGCCACTGGAAAATTCAAAGTGATTCAGAGTTCTTCCTGATAAAAAATGTATAGCAGCAAAAAAAAAAAAAGTGTGTATGTTTGAAAATATTTTAAAGTCATTTGTTTTAGTACCAAAGATGGATTTTTTTTTTCCAACATAGGTATATGTGTCTCGTCAGGGGCTGGAGAGGTGAGCCATTGGCTAAGAGCTCTCGCTGTTGTTTCAGAGCACCCGAATCCAGTTCCCAGCACTCATCAAGTGGCTCAGAGTTCCCTGTGATCTGTGTGTGACCCTGCTCCAAGGGAACTGGTGTCGTCGTCTGACCTCTGTGGGCACTGCACACACAAGTCATTTACACATAAATAAAAAGAAAAGATGTTTTAATGTCTTCAATTTCAGAAGCTTAAAAGCACATTACTTTAGTATGATTTCAGCCCCCCCACACACACACACACTTAGGTCAACAGACTACATTCCATCTTTCTCAGGACTGATTGGAATCTGTACCTTATAGGCTTGAGATGATCAGTTTAAGAAGCATAAAGATAACTTAGAGTAAACACAGTTGATAACAGATAAAGCAGAAAACTTAACAGGAAAAATATAAATGGGGCAAAGACATGTTTTCCCAATCACAGCATGTTTTATTTTGGAAAGTTTTCATAATTCAAACTCACTCAGTTCCCAACAGTCCTCTGTTCTTCTTGCATTGTTGTGTTCACAAGATTGCTGAGTTTCTGTATTTAATTATGGTTTTTACAATTTTAAAGGTAAAATTTAAACACACTGAGATCCTTGAATTTTAATTTTATATTATACTTTTGCTTAAAAATGTTTAGCATGTGTTTTGCATGTTAAAACTCACCAAAAATTGAGGCCAATGTATATGTTGAACTTAAAAATAAAGTTAAAGCTAGTTGTGGTGTTACACACCTCTAATTCCAGCATTCTAGGGCAGAGGTAGAAGGATCTCTATGAGTTAGAGGCTAACTAGATCTACACAGTGAGCACTACAGCCAGCACTACATAGTGAGAGCCTATCAAGAAGGGGGCTGGGGAGTGCTATATGTGAAGATCCAGTGAAACTTAGGTTGATCTGTCTTTTATAAGGGCTGATTCTTGACGTAAAAAGGCCACACACAGTGACACCCTAGCCAAGACATTTATGAAGTCTCCGAGTCAACAAACCAAAGAACTTTACATACATGAAACTTTCAAATCAAAGTTGAAAAGAATTTTAGAGAACATTGTGTATGTGTGTACAGTTTTCTGCTTGTAAACTCTGAGGAACACAATACTACGTCTCTGCTGTCTACACATATATGGGAAACTGTTGATGATTATGGATTGATGTTCTCTTGGTATACCCTGTTTTAGTACATCAGTTAGTTGTGGCTAGTGCTGTTCTGGCTGCCTGGGACCCATATCATACTTGTTATTCAGGATTTAGAGCAAACCCCTGGGTGTCTGTCATGCAGAATTTAGCACTCTAAAATGTAGGCGTAAATGGGGCCAGAAAGAATGTGTAGGTTATGAATTCAGCATGAAGACTGTTAAAAATACAACCAAATCTCAAAGCATAGGAATTTTCATAATGTGGGGTGAAGTAAGTACTTAACATTTCAAAGGGCTGTTGATTCATTGTTATAAAGATCAGTGAGAGCCTGGAGAGGTGGCTCAGAGCAGTGCACTGCTCCTTTTGAGAGGACTGTGCTCTGATTCCCAGCACCCACATTAGTGCCTCACATGTGCTTATACCTTTTGCAGTATAGTAGTACACTTCCTTTTCTCTGGGGATATGGGTTACATGACAGAAGATATTTGTTACTTATTTCTAAAAATGCTAATAAGCTAGGTTTGGGCTTTTTCAACAGTGTTTACACCAGCAGTTAGTTACTCATGGGATTCAGAAAATGTGTTGTCTCAGGGGAGTTCATGCCACAAAATTATTTCTTGAATGGCCACAAAATCTTATCATGGATTAGAATGTAAAGTGCCTCGAAGAAACTAACGTCATTCCTTTAGGCTATATTCCTCTAGATCCATGTTCTAGAGATCTGATACTGTCTTCTGGCCTGTACAAGCACACATACATATAAAAAGTAAAATGAAAAATACTGGTAGCCATACATATATTGTACATCAAGATTCATTTTATTTTCTGTGCCATATAAATACAAGAGGATGATAAAACTAGGATCTTGGTTTATAGAGCCAAGTATAGCAGCATTTCTGTCAGGAGCCAGTGGCAGTGATGACTAATATAGACTGGGTTTCCTCTTCTTAATCTGTGTCTTTAAATTTGAAAATAAAAGTGATCACTTTGCCAGGTTCAATGGCATTAGGCCTGTAGTCCTGGCTTCTTAGGGGGCTGAGGAAGAAGGATCATTTGACCCAGGAATTCAGAGTTAGAATGAGGATATAGCCAAACTCTATTATTAAAGAACAGCTCCCACCTTATAACATCCCGTCCTAACATACAGAAATAATCTCATCAGATTTGCAAGTAACATTTTGTTTTTACAGATTTACGGTATCTATAAATGTCAAGTCTTCATAACTTCACAAGTCAGTTATAAAGTCATCAGCAGGGAGACTCTGCTCTACAGCCTGCAAGTAGAAATATATTCTTACAATCTCGGAAAAAGATGTGTACCATTTTTTAAAGTTTTTGTCTACCTGTATGTATGTGCACCACACTTACCTGGTGTGGGCAGAAGTCAGAAGAGAGTGTTAGATCCCCAGTGGTGACTGCAGTTAAAAAGTTGTGAGCTACCATGAGGATGCTAAGAACCAAATCTTGGTTCTCTGTAAGAGTAGCAAGTGCTCTTAATTGTTGGGTCATCTTTCCAGCACCAAATGGAAATCTGGAAATTTTCTTTCCAGATGAACATTAAAAACATTTCTTAAATAAAAATATAAATGAATTATGAGCACATCCATATTATAAATACAATGTAAGTTCTAACACAACAAATTTTGAATCTTATTAAAATTAATGAGTGGTCAGAGCTGGGAAGATAACTCAGTAGTCAAGAGATGTTCTGCTCTTCTAGAGGACTTGGTTCAGTTGCCAGCATCCATGCTCTAGAGATCTGATACTGTCTTCTGGCCTGTACAAGCACATATACATATAAAAAGTAAAATGAAAAATACTGGTAGCCATACATATATTGTATATCAAGATTCATTTTATTTTCTGTGCCATATAAATACAAGAGGATGATGTCATAGTTTTTCCTACTCAGTCCCTTCCTAAAAGAGCATTCAGCTTAAGTAAACTGGTCTTCTGGTATGTCTGATGAAATTACCTGTGGATAGATAATGATTGAGCTCTCTAAAGTGGTATTTGTGTCTGTATTTCTCATTCATTCAATTCAGCTGATTGGTCAAACACGGAATGTAAAACCTGGATTTTGTTACTCTGCTTGTTGGCAGGAGGCTTGGGTTGATCTAAAAGGTTTTCTGGCTTCTCTGGCAATGACCTGTAAGGTTTTGCTTTGATTTCACCTTCAGAAAACATGGGCTGTGGGAGCACAGGCTCAGAGAAGGCCTTCCGAAAATTCTCACTCTCTCTATTTTGCCTTATGGATTCTTCTTCTTGGAAAATCTTCTTTATCTTTGCCAGCACAGCATTAACACAGACTGCCTGTACCAAAATCCAAAACAAAATAAAATGTTGAAAAATAATTTCCTTTTACAGTATTAACAACCACAGACGAAAAGCAATGTGACTAACATAGTCAATCTACATGTTCTAATATAGAAAGCCCTTCCTTTAAGGAAACCCTGACTCATGGCAAGTGATAGATTGATTCCTTATCCTAAATATGGAAAGGTGTTTAAATGAAACATGCATAAAAAAAAAACTTCAGAGGTGAGAAACACAACAAGTTTAATCTTTCAACTTACTCTCCATCACTAAAGACGCCAACGACAGAGACAAGGAGTGAAGGACAGCATTACTCCACAAAACTAAACGGAACTACAGTAGTTTGCCTTGCAGAAGAACTGCCTCAAGATGACATGAGGGCAGTAAACACTCAGGGCTTCCTTTCTCTCCTTCAGATTTCAAAGCACTTTACTTTTCTTATGGAACTTTTATTGTAACAGCATGTTGCTTATGTGGTCTTATGTAGCGGTATCACAGTGATATTCCATGCACATGCTGCATTGCATCTTCATCTTGCCTCTTTCCATCCTCACACCAGTCCTTTGCCCTTCCCTAGTAGTCCCTCTGCTAGCCTATGTCTTTTAAAAAATCATTCATGTTTTCACACAATGAAATAAAACATACTATACTTTTCTTTGTGTCTTTTGTATTCTCCTAAATGATCTCAAGTTCCATTCTTTTAATTTATCCCCAAATGTTATAATTTCATTTCATAGATTTCCTTTGCATTGATATAGATGATCATGACATTTTTGTCTTAATTCTATTTAATACTGTATTAAATGTATTGGTTTACAAATGTAGATCCATTCTAGCATCCCTGAGATGAAATTGACAATTATGATGATGTTTTTAATATATATTTCAATTTGTAAGTATCTTATTAAGGATTTATTCACCTAATTAATTCCAAGATAATCAAATATTATCAAAGATTATATTGGCCTATAGTTTTTGCTCCCCTCCCTTTTCTTCCTTTCTCATTTTTTAGATGTGTAAACCATGTATTAATGGTTTAAAATAAGTTTTGAAAAATAGTGTTTTGTGTGTTGATTAAAAGAATGTGTTTTGCTACTGTTGTATAGAATATTCTGTAGACATTTATTAAATCATTGACCCTTAGTATATTTAACTCTAGTGTTTCTTTGTCCCGATGGTCTGTGTGCTGGTGAGAGCAGGGATACTGAAGTCACCCACTAGGATTGACATAATAGTATTGTAGTCTTAGCTCTCCCTGTATGCTATGCAGTATTTGTTTAACAAAATTGAGTGATCCAACCTTCAATGTGTATGGATTTATAACCATTACATCTCATTGGATTGTTCCTCTTATGGTTTGGATATGAAATGTTCTCCACAGGCTCATGGGCTGAAGGCTTGGTCCCAGATAATAGACCTATTTGGGGAGGTGTTAGTAATTTTAGGTGATGGGTACTTCCTATAGTAAATATTTTGTTGGAAACATATTCTAGGGGTTATACCTTGCCTTGTCTACATCTCCTCCTCATGCTTCTTCTCTGACATTAAATGATCAGCTTCTGCTACCTGCCTCTACTGCCATGCCTTGGCTCCAAAGTTCTAACTGAAAGTTCTGACACTGGGAGCCAAAATCAACCTTTCCTTCTTTAAACTTGTTTCTTTCAGTTACTTGTTTCAGTGTTGAAAAGCTGCCTAGTACAGTTCCTTTTGTTGCTATATAGTGATCTTGTTTTTAATCTTTTCTGAGCATTTTGGCTTGATTTGTATGTACTTTTTTATTTGAATATAGATTCTCCTGCTTGTTTTTTTTTTTAATTTTTTAGAATATAATTTTCTGATATTTCAATTTTAGTTTTTGTATGACTTTGTGAGGGATGTGAGTTTCTTGCAGGCACCATTTATTGGAGCTTGTTTTATTATCCAATAAATCACTTTAAAATTTTGTGCGTATATGTATGCTTGTTATGTGTATGTGTGGTATTATATGTGCACATGTGCGTAGAGTTTCGAGTATTTTGGATATGTTCCTCAATCACTTTCCACCTTGTCTTTTGAGATAAGTTAGCTTACTGAACCTAGACTTAGCAGTTCCCCTAGGCTGGCTTCTAATAAACTCCAGAGATTCACTTGCCCCTCTTCACCCTCCAACCAATGCTCAGGTTCTTGCTGTGTTCTGATATACACAACTGTTTTGTATATATAAGGGATCCAAACTTTTCATTTCTGTCAGTTCTACTTGGTTCTAAATCCTCTTCCACTGGGAACATATAGAAAGTTTTCTGCTGTTATTTCACTTACCATAAGTTTCTCTGTGTCTTTTATAACTTGGCTCATTCATTAGTGCTAGTTATTCATAAATGTATTCTTCTAACCATGTCACTTTTTAACCATTTATACTCTTCATAACTTATCTTTTGCTCACTTTGTCTTTTGTATCTGATACTATGCCAGTTGACCTTGTTTATTGGTGAGGCTTGAATGAATTTTCCTTTTCCTAGTTTGTTTGGTTCTTTTTCTGAGTTTCATCTTATTGCCTATATTAGTTTGCTTATTTTATTCAGCTTTTTATTTGTATCCAAATTCACTCATTCTGAAAAATAGTCTTTTGAATTCTTTGGCATTCATATGCCTCAATATCTTTGGGTTCACTTGTAAACTGTCAGAGGAGTGGTGCTGCCTTATTTTCTTCATAGTTCTTGTATTTCTACATTCAGATTTGTACATCTACTAGAATGGATATCTTTTCTACTTCATGCAAGAGTCTTCTTTTTTATTGGATATTTTATTTATTTACATCTCAGATATCTCCTTTCCCCATCCCCCCCCAAAAAAAACCCCTTTTATCCCATACCCCCTCCTCCTTTTTGCTTTAATACCATTTTAATTACATGCAAGTATTAAGGTCAGTTCTAGGTTGAGGAACTAGCAATACAATAGATGCAAATAGTCAAGGAACAAGCAAGACAAAAAACACAGACAGTCAAAGAACAAGCAAGGCATTAAACCCAAATACATGAACACTCCCATGATCACTGTTTCTAAGGGCTTATCAGGATGACCAAAATATCTGAGCCTACTTCCCTGTCCTAGACCAGTGTCATTTTCATGTCTGAAGCCTACTTCTTTGTTCTAGCCTAAGATTTATATTCCTGACTGAAATGACTTCTTTGTTCTAGCCTAATGTCAGATTCCTCCCAAGCAGCCCACTTCCTTGTCCTTGGCCAATGTCACATTCTTGCCAAGCCGCCCATTTTCTTATCCTTGGTCATTGTCAGATTGCAAGGGTCTTCTTAATGAGAAGCCTCCTCCTGAGAGTTCTGTATGAACTATCACTCAAACATGAAAATATTCGCAGTAGCAACAGAAAAATAAACCTTCTGGGCATAGAAACACAACAAGCAAATAAACAAAACAGCAATATCATCACCAGTAAGAAAGAGTCAGAAATAATACAGAATAAACTAAAGAGAGTTAAGAGCAGTAAGGCATTTTAAAATCCAATTAAAAGAAAAAGTAAAATTAGATGCAAGATAAAAATAATGTAAGGGGAAAAAAACACTAAAAACTTCCTCCTGGCTGAGGTCCATGGATTGAGAAAGTTACCTTCTGGGTCCTCTATTCTGCCAAGTGTGATTGGTGGGGAAGGGGGATAGTCAGACACAGATAAGGCCTGTGGTCATTAAATTTCCCACCTAACAGGCAGAGCTGTACACAGGTTGAGCCTTGTTCTGCACTGCCTTGCATTTTCTACTTGGCTTGGTCAAGGATATATCTGTGACAGAGCTGTATTCATAGCAAAGGCTTTCGGTATGCATGACAAGAAACCATAATGCCCCAGCGGTGGTAATGGGGCTGGGTGGGCACTCCTCCTCTCTTGAAGTTTGGTTCCACTTGAACCCCAACAATCTTTGATAGGTGAATGCTCTCTTACTCCAGATGCCCTCCATCTCCTAAGACATTGGCAAATGTCCAAGCCAAAGTGTATCTTTAGAGGGCCAACAATATGGGAAGCAGACTACTGACCTCTGACTGGTGATAGGACAGTGTTGGGGTGGGGAGGACCCTGTGGGAAGTGAAGAATCTACTGCTCTTTCTCTGAGCACTTCCAACCCTGTTCTTACAGTAAAGCATTTGCTCTTCTTCCCACAGGGGAAGGTGCCACTGACCACTATGCCCTGCACTTTCCACTGCCTCTGAATTTTGACCATTCTGTGTAGTCTGAAATCCAGAGCAGTTTAGTCTTTAACAGTGCCCTTCTAACAGTGAATTCTGGCCCCAAACTCTAAGAAAAGTATGAGCAATGAGTCCCCTTCAGAACAAACCACAATACTGGACATGTAAGGCTTGCATGGACTATGGGTTTCTCCACTGCTAAGACAGGCTGATGGTATCACTGTGACTGTCTGCACTTGGCCTTATTGGGTATTGTGGCATTCAGACATCCCCTCAGCCCTGCTGGGGGCCAACGTTGGAGTTTCCGGTTGTTTTGTGCTTTTCCTTCATCTCGATTCCTGTAGCTTTTCCCTTTTTCTTTCCTCAGAATATACTTTGTTGTACTGACTCTTCGCATTTGCAGTCATGCAGAGGACTCTTTTGTTCCACCATCTTCCTACAGAAGGCATCAGTGCAATACTTTGAAGGTAGATTCCGTTCTAATTTTCTTGAAGGGTTGAGGCCTCTGGCTGTTCTGCCTCCTGACTCTCCTGCTCCTCACTGTGAAACACACAACACATGCTCTCTTTGTTACCTTCAGCTTTGACCCTGCCTCCTCTACCTCTCGCTTGCTGAGTTTACAGGCTTGCACAATCATGCCTGATTTATGCATTTATATATCCATTGCTTGAAACCAAACCTAAGGCTTTTGTGCACACTAGGCAAGAACCCTACTGAGCTGCATTATATTCCCAGCCCTTCCTGACCAATCTAGAAGTAGCTAGTCAATTTATACACACACACACATACGCACACTAGCTGGATTTTAATTTGGACTGCATTAAATTTATAGGCTATGGGAAAAGTTTAATACTATTATATGTTATAATATGATAAAATTTAACAAAAACATAAATATGATGGCATCATAAAAATTGTTGAGAGAAATTTCAAAAGGCCAAAGTAAACAAAGGATATGCCATATTCATAGATTAGAAGGATTTACCCTACCAGTTATAAAGACATTTTTATGAAGGTCCAGTGATTCACAGCAAAACTGGTCTAAGGATAGACAAAGCAGCTAGACAGAGTTTATAAACAGGCCTACATACAAAGAAACTTGACATACGAAAATAAAGTACCATTGGGGTAAATGTGTGTCTGTAAACTCATACCAATTTCCACATGGATTATAAATCTATAAGTGAAAGGCAAAATAATATAGCTTCTAGACTATAACAGACGAGAATGTTCTCCTCATCTTGAGTGTAGGTCAGAATTTATTTAAACAGGAAAAAACTCCACAATATAAAGGAAAGTATTAGTAAGGTAAACTACATTAGAATTAAGGAATTGTACTTTAAAAGATTCTGCTATCCAAGTAAAAAGACAAGTCATAGGATGAAAAAAATGAAATTTACCTATATGATATCAAACAAGAATATCTTGAAATATATTTTCAAAGCAAAATCAATAACTTATAGAGTTAGACATCTCTCAGAAAAATAAAAGACTCATGGTAGACAACACTGTAGATACAGTGCCATCTTCAACCAGGCATGAGGTATGTTTATTTCTACAATCTGGCAGTTAACTTACCAAATAAATTAGTGCTGCATAAGAAGCATACATTATGCTAGTCAAGGCAGTTTTTGCTGGAAAAGAAATGATTTCAAACAGAGAACCCTTTCTGACCTGCAAAAACAAAAAGTTCATTAAAATGAAAATTTCAAGGTTTCAATGTTCTATTTCACAATATTATTCTGAGAATTTAAAATTTTTACTTAATCAATGTTGTCTGTATTTTAGCTATCTGTGCTTTTTCACATTGTGAAGATATATTAGTTCCTGCTTCTCCTTTTAACAAGAATATGCTTCCTTTTACTAATAAAAACCTGTGACAAATCTATACAAATCTGAAGTCTCTCTTTCTGAAACCGGAAGTATTTCATTGTTAACCTGTGAAATGTGCTTGCTAGGAGGTGCTCACTAAA